CATTGCTTCTTCCCAGATGTCATGTGATGAGTTTGTTAGTATCTTTGTTATGTAGACTAGCACAGGGCCCCTAATGGCCCATTGAGAAAGGTGGGGGGCTATTAAGAGTGAGTCTGTTTCCTGCCTAAAAACATGTTTCCCCCATTTCTTATCCAGGGAAATATAATGTTCTGCCTTCCCAGGATATTTCATTTTTCCTAGGAGAGCAGTGGGATTTAACTTCCTAAAGGAAAATTGATGGAACTGTGTCTAGGGCAGTGTTTCACAACTGTAAGATATGTGGACTTCAACATGGAATTCTGGTAGCTGAAGTCCATACCTCTTAAAAGTTGCCAAGGTTGAGAAACACCGGCTACCCTTTCTAGGCTGCAAAAAATGGGATAACCACTAGATGGCAGCAAAGAAATATAGGAAACTCCCTCTGCTACCATCTAATGATCTCCTGCATTTCTGCAGTCCAAGTAAGATAGGCTTTTCTGTAATGTTTATGGTGAAAGAATAAGTAAGCAACTTTGCCAAGTACTATTATTCTCTCAGCATTTCCACATGAGGATTCTGCACCCATTCCAAAACAATCCAGACCTTTGTGACCCTATTATGTAGGTGGTAGCTGAGTGTGTTTTATTGCTGGCTCACCTCCATTGTGTTTGAAACTGCAGCAGAGCGAGTTGCGGTGCTTTGAAATTCTGCCTTTGTGGGCAATCTTATTTCCCCATTGGCAGGAGCTCCTTCTTATTTCTCTCCCTGCTTGCTCAGCTGAAGGCAACTATTACTTTCTCTCCATAGAATTTCAGTTTAGAATATATGTTAAGGGAACTCCCATTTCAAAACAGGCACTAGAGGGGAAAAAGCCATTAGTAGCATAGCTATTCCCTCATAAACAGGAGGAGAAAACGGATACAACTCTTCAATTTCACTTCTGCTTGTTTCAAAAATATCCTGCTACATTCCCCCAATCCTGCCATTATAGCCAACCATGTTTCAAGCAGCTGTAAAAAATGCCTAGTTGAAAAAAAAAATGCTGACAGGCTATCAGTCTTTGTAGTGACTCTTAAATAGAAAAAGGAATCACACCTCTGCAGCTGAGTAAATGTTACTCACAGCAATCATCATAAACTTTTGATTTAACAGACAAATGAGGCTAAAGGCAATGTTCATTAAATCAGGACGTCTGTTAAATACAAATAAGGTTTTATGCATGTATATTTAATATGTTTTATGTACTTTATGCATGAATAAAATGGTAAATGAAATTTTATGGGTGTTCAAAATGGCAAACCAGATTTTAGATATGCTCAAAAACATGAAAAATTTTCTCCATTGCACCCAAAGCCCATTAATCAAAGATCCATTAAGTTTACCCTATTCGTATTTTTTCGTCAAGCAGTCAAAAAAAATGTATGTAATTACAATGTGTTAAAGAGAGCACATATGAAAGGTACTTATTCACTTTCTTTCCCATTTACGTTGAATGGAGTGGTCTGAGGGAACACATCAGAGGTGGTATTCAGCAAGTTCTGACCAGTTCTGGAGAATCGGTAGTGGAAATTTTGTGTCATTCAGAGAACCGGTAAATACCACCTCTGACTGGCCCCACCCCCATCTATTCTCGGCCTCCCGAATCCCAGCTGATCGGGAGGGAATGGAGATTTTATGGAGATCCTCCCCCTGCCACACCCACCAAGCCATACCCACCAAACCACACCCATCATGCCATGCCACGCCCATCAAGCCATGCCCACAGAACCGGTAGTAATCCTACCACTGGAACACATTGCTACTCAGATGGTTGGGCACTGAAAATCTTTGTACTCTCCAGTTTGTCAGATAAAAGTAGATCAATGTTACTTTAACTTGAAATTGCTTTTTCGTTTCAAAATTTGCTCAGTTCATTACATTGTGAGCTAGTAATTGGGATTATGTGATACACTAAGCCACCTCCTCCTCCCAAATAGCCACAAGCCTAGACCAAAATTCTGCTATAAGATTTTTTAACCTGGTTAAACATATCATGTGAACATAGACATTACTTTCACAAAATTTCCAGCTTGAAATGACTGGTGAGTTTGGGAGTTGATTGGAATGGCAGTCACAAAGCTCAGATTATCCTTCTCTCTCTGAGCCATTCAAAAACTAAAAGTAAAAGTACTGGCAGAAAAATGTTGTAAATATTTATTAAACACACGATCACTAGTACAATACTTTCTTAAGCAGTTTTTTCCCCACTCCCTTTTGTGGGCTATTTTACCACATGAACTAACTGATTTTTTAACAGAAATTTTCAACGGATGCATTGTGATACATGAAACAATGAATTATATAAATGTATTGTAAAATTATTATAAGATGAGGCAGTTCTCAGATTCAACTCAATACAGCTTTTCTTTAAGCACTTTCTTCCATTTAGAAAGGATTATGATTCTCCTTTCTTGGGTTTTGAGTAGCAGACAGATGTACAGTCAGAATTTGTCAGTAGCAGTTTCTGATCACATTTCTGCATCTCTAATGTGCAGGATTTGCTTCTTCTTTCTCTTGGTTTGTCATGACAAAGCTCGTCACCCAATAGTTACTGGAATCAGCGCCAGTGTGTTCCTTCTTCAATTTGGATCATAGTGTCATGTACTAGGAACATTTTCTGTGCTGCTTTGAGCTTGCCATACATTGACATCCTCTGCTTAAATATTTTAAGGCTGTTTGATCAATGCTTGACAGGTGTCTAAAATAAAATGTTACCTACTGTGTTAGGAAATCACATTCTAATCTCATTTTGCAGCTATGCTGAGCCGTAACACATGGGAATGGCAGCCCTATTTTTGAATCTAGTGACAAATTGTCACCTGAGATATACAGTAAGAAGTATCTTGGCTCCCTCCTACAGATATAGGAGACAATTAAGCCCCCTCCCCCAACTTAGGGGGATTCTTGACATATTGATTCAGCTAGGATTAAGTCTGGCATTTTCAATGATCATTATTTATATTGTCCCGTAAATGACATGGTATCACGAAGTTAACATTCAGTTAACATCTTAGTAGAATGAACAGGACTTGTGTGATGACTGCTAAAATGATCTCATGCCATCAGCTAACAGTCTATAATAATTTCGATCCAAAATCATCATTAGGATACCTAAGTTGAAACAATCTATGGACAGATAATTGAAATGTTCCAGACTGATCTTTCCCAGTGAAGGGCACTTGTATAGAACATGTTGGGCTTTAAATCATACCTTTTAAACACTTCGCTTAATTCCTTTCTTTGCCTTCAGCTGGTACTTACTGTAACTAATATTAATTCTAGGTACCATAGTTAATAATGCAGAAAATTCTTCTGAAGGCAACAAGCATAATCCAGTATGTTCTGGTAGGTTAAATAATGATGTATTCATAATTAAAATTAGTTTTTCCTCCTACTAAATTCAAAGTATCAGTGAAATTGTTTTTCAATCCACTCTTTTCCTGTTCTTGTGCTTCATACAAAAACCCAACAGTGTTAATACCTAACATTCATAATTCACGTCTATGAATATTATGCCGTTACAGGCTCACACATTTCGCAATACTTTAGACCACTGCATTATCTAATAATTCCTTGTCTTTAATCAGCCCAAGGCGTTTTTTGATCAACGTCGCAATCAGTTGCTGAGGTCGTCGCTGATACTCCGCTAGAACTTCATGGGAGGCTTTGATCTGATCTCCTTCAAGTCGATTAAGGAGAGTCACACAGACAACTGCAGCTTGAAAGCAGAAGAAAACAGAGGGGGAGAAATCAACTTTGTTTTTACCACAGCTATAATCGTAGTCAATATAATTTTTACCTCAAGACTGCAAATGCTATAGTAGAATTTTACTAGACAACTTTCAAATTAAAGGATAACTGTTGCAGAAGTATAACAAAACATTCCTAGGGCTGCCAATGTGTATTTACTCTACTTCGAAAGGAAGACAAAATCATTGCATTGCTACCTTTTAAAACACCTGTATGGCTCTTAAAAACACGCACATGTTCTTACTCAGTTTAAAGCAGGTGCAATAATGAGGAATGCTTCAAAACTCAACAAGGATAATAAAGTGTCAAGCCGGCCTCCTTCAGCAACCAAGAAAGAAACCACTTAACTCCATTTTGCAGAATTAAGAGTTCTTTTACTGGGTTTTATGAAAACAAAAATATTATGTATAATAAACACTATCGTTGAGCATCCTAAGCAGAGGTGGTATTCCGCCACTTCTGACAGGTTCTGGAGAACCGGTAGCAGAAATTTTGAGTAGTTTGGAGAACTGGCAAATAGGCTGGCCACACCCCTGCTGCCTCCCAGCTGATCTTTTTTTGTTGTCCTGAACAGGAGAACAGAGCTGGGGGAGGGGAGGGAATGGGGATTTTGCAGTATCCTTCCCCTGCCACACCCGCTACACCATGCCATGCCCATCAAACCACTCCCACAGCACTGGTGTTAAAAGATCTTGAATCCCACCACTGATTGTAAGTTATTTGC